TTGCTACTTGCTTAAGTAATTCTGGGGGCTAGTGACAGGAAAGTATTGATGTCCTAAATTACTGAGAGGGGTCAAATTTCTTTTTTTCTTTTTTCTTTTTAGACTTTTGCCATAGGGTGCATGCACTCTCTGGAGAGAGACTGAGGGAGAAATAATCCCCAGAAGGAATGGCCACACCGCAATCCTCTCTCCACACAGGACTTTGGGCAGACATGCACTCACACCCAGCATGTTTTTCAAGTCGCTGGTCCAGGATTTGAAATGCAGAGTCGGCCACATGGGATCCAGTGCCCTAACCACACATCACCTGCTGACCCCAGTGTTAATTTTTAAGGGTCCTCATACAGTTTTTCAGTGCTTGGTCAGTTTATCCCAGTCTGGCCATAGCACCCCCTACACTGTGAGCACCAGTCCTTACAGACACACAGGGAACATAGCACAGCAACGCACAGCACTGAGCTCTCCCTTTTAAATGGATGGGAGAATACATATTTTTTTAAGTAGAATTTTTTTTTTTTTTATTATAATTCAGAAATGCCCTCGTTGAATTAACACAGCAGCAAACATGTCAGGGAAGAAAGCAGATGGCTGCTGGTGAGCAGGAACAGCATTTCAGTTGGTGGTTATAGCCAGGCAGGGGCGGGACTCAGATCTAGAACTGAAACTGTGATTAAGAATGCCACACCCCTCGGCCACTTCTGTTCCTTCAAGTTCCGTGGTTACCTTGGTTGTCTTCCCTCAGTGTTGCACACGTCCCTGTGTTCACGCCAAGAAGCATGAGAGCACGATGGAACCAGCCCCTGGGTGGGAAGAAAGGGTCAGGAGCTGCCTGTTGACATTAAAATGTACATTCTTCTAAACAAAGCACACAGCTCTTGGATTTGCATTGGCCTTGGAGGGTTTCTCTTTCCAGACACTGCTTTCTAGGAGTTTCTGGGAAAATGAATTTGGAGTGAATAATATCCTGGCTCCTCTTGGCAAAACTGTTCAGGCAGCAGGGAAGAGGAAAGTGGAGGTAAGATGAACACTACTAGTTGGACATATATTCATGAGTTAACTTGAAGCCTCTGGTTTTCCCACAACTAGAGAGGCCTGAGCTTCAGAATAATCCATTTTCTGCTCTGATCTGTTTCCTTGGGTCTCATCCTTGTGACATGGAAGCTAGAGGTGATTTTTTTCTCCTTTGTCCTTTGCTCTTGCATCAAGAACTCTTGGTCACCTTTCCATTGCCCTCACTAGGCTGCCCCCACAGTATGGCTTTTGACAAAGCTGGCTAGATACACACTTGCCCTCTTGCCCCTAGTCCCCAGTGCACCACGAGTGCTGGTTGCCTCTGCTCCCTTGAGCCTGGGAAGTGCTGAACAGGAAGTCCTATCAGAAACCCAAAGGAACAGGGACCATTGTTGCCCTCTTCTTTTACCTAGCAGCAGTGGCTGTTGAAGTTGCCGAGCCTGCTGCTATCAGAGAGCAGAATTAAAAATGGGGAAAGAGAATACAAATTGTTCTGGACTACTCAGGGACCAAGAAAAAGCAACTCAGGAAAGCTGATTGAGAAAGCTATCAGAAGATTTAGACCAGAGAAGATTGGATCAGCCCTGGTTTGGGCTCACCACTCATGCCTAACCTGGCAGGTTATTTTTATCATGCATAAAACTGGGATTGTAGTTCTTGGTTCCTATGTAGATGACTCAGTGAGATCATGTGGTCTTAGTGTCATAAAACAAGAGTCTTTTGGGATTGGTCACTACAAGAGTCTTGGTCACTACAAGAGTCTTTTGGGATTGGTCACTATCTTGAATTCTTTCCTTGGTCCTCATTTCTTATTCTGTTTACCACCCCTTGCCCAACTAACTCCTCTAGCTGCCTTATCTTACTCCCAGCTTGCGTCCTGGTGTCTGTGCTAAAGGCTGCAGTCCCAGGTTTTGAACTTTGGCTTTCAGAAATCCCTCAGAGGGGTCCCTAAACCCCCTTCAAGCCTTTCTTACACTTGTTGGTGCTCAGTACTGTGGTCTAGCTGACCTTTCCACTTTGCCTGGACTCAGTATGTGTAATTGTAGCCACCAGTACATTCTTACATTCTTTTCTTCTTCTTCTTTTTTTTTTTTTTTTTTTTTTTAAGAAGTTGAGAAACAAGCCCAGAGGAGTGGAAAGAATTAGATTGTAAATCTCGCTCTGCCATTGCTAGCTTTTCTCACCTGGGTGGGCCTTTGCCTATATCTGTAAATGGAATATTACGTATCACATAGAACCACTGGGAATATTAAACTAGCTAACATATACAATATTAGGTTGTTGGAAAAGTCATGATGCATTTTTTGCATAGAAAAACAATAAAAAATACTCATGACTTTTCTGACAACCCAGTATCTACAACATAAATATTAATCAATAAATATTAATCACTTTCTTGCTGTTACGTGGAAATCTCCTAAACTCAGTATCACCAAACAACTTGTACAAACCCAAGGGCATCTGACTTATCACCCACACGCACTTGTGGGGTTCTGTCCTTTGTACCTGAAGATGGTACTCTTCCCTTCCATCAGGAAGGTCTGTGCATGGAAGTTGTTTTCCCAGAATTGAATTTGTGCCTTTCCTCTTGAGATAGTCAACATAGGTTCCAAGGCAGCAAGCCAGCCACAGTTTGAGACAGATGAGCTGTGACTGTGGTGCAGAAACTAGCAGGCCTGTGAAGAAATCATCTGGTGATTCACGCAGATGACAGCAGTTGGTGACAGCGGCACCTTGAATACACTGGCGTGTACCACTCGCTTCCGAGTACTCTTGCGCTTGTTTGATTCTTACGAGAGTTCTGAGAGGTAGATTCTCACTCTGAGAGGAAAATGAGACCTGGGAAGCAGTCATACTCCATATCACACCGATAGTAACTGGTAGAAACCCCCCCCCTTGACTATCTAGGTCTTGTGCGAAGTTTTGAACCCAGATGAGAGCCAAAGTTCTGGCTCTTCAGTGGGAGCGTGGAGCTGTGCTGCAGTCTTCTAGCTCCTCTGTCAATAGAAACCTCGTGTGTGTAGTTATGGAAGATTTGCTCGCTGAATGAATTATCATGAGCACTTTGCTGTGTGTGGGTGCTCTAGGCATTGGCAATACCATGAGAAAGGAAAGAAACCAGGAAGAAAACTGTGCAGGATCACTGTAAGACGAGTGCTATGGAGAACGGAGTCTGGGTGAGATGGGCAGATGCTGTTTTCTCCTTTCTTTCTTACTTCCTGTCTCATCCTGTGCTAAACTTGCTCAGAGCCAAGGTGGTGTGTTCACTTCCTGATGAAGGTTCCCAGACACCAGTTCCTGCAGGGCAGGGCTTTTGGAGATTGATTTTGGAGTTGAACCAACTTTATAGAAGCAAGTGCTGGGGATATCTGTTTACCCACTGAAATATCCATGACCTCCCTGTATGAGAACTGGGATAGCCTGGACAGTGCCATGGGATCCTCTGGTGGGATGGGGAAAGAATCTGTACTGGCTTTTCTTAAAGATGAATTGTTAAATCTAGAGCTCCCCCTGCTGTAAGAAGATAGAGTGGGATTTCAGTGGCGCTTTAAGACTAGTTCTTTTCTTTTTAGCTTAAGATAAAACACTGTTTTAAAGCTTTCTTCTAGGACTCCTGTTGCCAAGGCCCAGCCCCCCTCCCCCAGTGAGTGGAGGGGAGGAGAGGAAGCACCAAGGCCCAGGCAGGATAGGGTCCTATCTTTCTGTACTTCTGCTACTTTTAGCATCTCCTTGGCCCTGTGCTCCTCCCATAGCCAGCAGCCTGGCAAAAGTTATCTCTACACACAGTTTCACAGCTGTTCTGAAATTCTAGAGCAGCAGAAGTGAAACCGACCACAGTCTTGCAAATTTCTTTTATTGCCATTGTTCCCCACTCCTTTCCCTCTCATCTTCAGGGTGTCTTAAGTTGTTATTTGTCCTGATAGCCAAGTTTTTGACAAAGGGAGACAGACCCTCCAACCACAGTGCAGCATTTGTGGAACATCCTGACTTGGTCCTGCCAGCTGAGCATTGTTTGCTGGAGTCAAGAGCTGTGGTCTCTGTGGTGGTGTCCCCAGAATAGAGCTGAGCCCTTGTCAGCTGCTGGTGGTGTGTGTTCTTCACCATGGTCAGCCATACCATTACTGTGAGGATCTTCTTTAGAGATGAAATTTGAGTTAATTTTAGCAGTACTATTAATATCAGCTCAAGTGAATAAGGAGCTGGCACCTGAGTGGTGAATATAGATCTTTTTGGTTTAACTTTCCCACTGAAATAGTTGGGCCAGTTAGTGATTCTAGTGAGGTTGGAGAAGTCAGGCAGTTGGCCCACACTCTGCCCTTCCCTGTGTCCAGGTCTTCCAAGAGTAAGGGAAGCCCAGCAGGTGCTCTTGGAGGCTTGGTTGCTTGGGCTATGTGGCTGACAGTCATGTGACCATACAGGGTGGTTTTAAAAACTTATCCTGTGGAGGGACCAGCAGTTGGCGTAATGGCTATGCTGCTGAACTCCCATGTAGTCGACTGTGGTTCGAGTCCCAGACCTGGTAGCTTAAACACACACTGGGAGCATATGTGTGCATGCCCAAGATCCTGAGAGGAGAATGGAAGAGAAGGGCTTGCAGCGTGGCCACCCCCCTCCCCCAGGGGGGTGATTTCTTGCTTTCTGTGTCTCTCTCTGTCTTTCTGGCTAGCACACACATCCTATAGCAAAAACCTCTCAAAAGAAAAAAAAAAAACTAAACAAAAATAAAACTATGGGCATACTTTATTGATCCCAAGCTTAGTCGATGACCATTCCCATTAGGAAGCATAAAGTGACCAGAACTGTTTCAGTGAAGTAGCTAAACCATAAAGACATACTCTTATTCAGGTGTCATTTTCTCCTTCATTTCAGCTAATATTAATAGTACTGCTAAAATTAACTTGAATTTAAGATGTCTTCACTGAAATGTATAGCACTAGACCTGATGCTTTCCTATATAGTAATTCTTTTTGTGTTTATTCTCTCAACAGCTTTGAAAAGTCCAGCTGCATTCCATGAGCAGAGAAGGAGCTTGGAGCGGGCTAGGGTAAGGCACCTTTTTACCCCTAGACCTCCTCACAGAGCTCAATACGTTCCTAGTTGTATTTCCTTCCAGCTAGCACAACTGTTTTGTGAGCCTTTGACCCTCAGTTCTAAATAGAAAGTTCTGGTTTTCTTTCTTTGTCACTTGCCCCAGCCACCTCCCAAGGCGGTGATTCTATGGAACATAATTGGAGTTGTCAATTGCTTGATCCTCTTTCCCAAAAAAGGAGACCACTAGAATTTCCCCATCTTTAATGCTGCTTAACTTTTTATAGATGTTAGATGTGAACATTGGCCACAGAACCACTTCCCAGGCCCAAGGCCATGATGCCCAGCCCTCTGCAGTGCTGGCATTCCAAGGGACAGTAAGCCTGCCTGATCTCCATCTGCTCTGGAGCACAAGTGTGCTCTGGAGCCTATAGGAAGCAGAAACTGGGCCACGCTCCAGCCCAGGTCTCATGCTGCAGCACCTCACTCACGTCCCTGTCCCACTCTTGGTTTCAGTTCCCCAGAGGCCCCTAGGGGTTATTCTGCTGTTTGGTGTGGTCTGAGATGGGGAAGTCACCAGAATTTGCTCCCTTCCCCACTCCCTTTACTTTTTTCTTTTACATAAAGTAAAAAGAACAGGACCCTAAACTGCAAGATTATGGACCATGGCTTCCCAAAAGACCATAGCTTTTTTACAGACTCTGAAATATTTACTTCCAGCTTGTCTATTTTTTTCACTAGAAAGTTATGATTGATTCTTAGAGTGGGGTTGTGGGTACTGGAAACTAAAGGAGTAACAACCTGCACTGTCTTAATTGCTCATATAACATTCGAAAGTGTGGGGCCTTAGGGGTGAAAGGAGCTTGGCATCGCCTTGGCTTAGTCCGGTCCACATACTTGGCCCCGTTTTCTGAGTGTCTCTCAAATGGGCCAGGAGCGAGTAAGGACTAGTTAAAACAGCTACTGTTTTATCGGTAGTTGATCAGTTTCACATGTGAGGTTGTCTCATTTCTTATTTATCTGTGTATCACCTGTATGATGTAGGCATTTATTATCCTTACTTAATGGAGGTTAGAGTTAAAAGAGGTTAATGAACTCGTCCAGGTAGGAAGCAGCAAAGCTGGCAAGCAAACTTTGCTCTGTGGATTCTGTATTTTTTTTTCAATCAAAATACTTTTATTTTCTAACACATGGTGAACATGTATTGGGTCACTGGGAAAGTCATAATGCATTTTTGCATAGAAAAATGGAAAAATATGTCATGACTTTCCCAATAACCTAATATATCCAGTATGTGCCTGTCTTACACATCTGCTCACAAATGGCTTCCAAATCGTAACAACTGCTTTCCTATTTAAACATGTACTAAAATTTACCTTAGGTGAGGTATGAAAAATACTGGATTGGTTTCAGTAGAGTTTGCTTATTAATTAGTTCCAAAGATTAAAAGCTTTGACAAGTTGATACTTTTGCATCTCACACTTCCCAATGAATAGAATGTAGCAATATCAGCTTGTATTCTAGAGAAGTCCCCTTTGTTTTTCTGGGGATGGAACTGCTTATCCAGCCTGTCTGTGTTGTGCAGGCAGCTCCCTGTACTGGGGCAGAGCACCCAGGTGGCTCAGAGACCACACTCGGGCAAGCCCGTGCTGTGTTCGTGCAGCTGATCCCTTTATCATCAGTGTTTTCAGTCACTGATGCTCCCCATTAGTCATGAATGCTTTTAATAATACCTGTTGCAAAGTCCTTATCTTTAAACTCTTGCAGTGAAAGTAAACTGGTTCTCTGGTTAACATCAGGAACACTATACCTTCTAAACCAGTGCAGAATGCCTTCTAGGTAATCAGCCTTCAGCCATTTGACATCATTAATATGCCCACTCTTTGTTGTAAAGGGTACAACTCAGGAACGGCCAGGTGGAAGACATGCATTGGTGTGTGGTGGAGGCTCCTCCAAAAATTTTCTTAGTACAGTTTTCTGTCTCAGATTTGGCCAGAGCTTCAGAGAATCTAAAAAACATGGCTTCTTCTGATCTCTGTGAAGACCTCGTAGCACTTAACACCTGTTCTTGCATCCTCTGCAGCAGCTGAGGCAGTACTCTGGCCACTGCAAATGAGAGAGAGGTCTCATTTCTGTAGCCACTTTACACCGTCTCCTAGAGGGCTTAGCCTCCTCAGACTGGCGCAGTCTTGTCCAGCCAGAGCGCAGAGGAGCAGATGACTAAAGTGAGGACCGTTCTTGACCTTTACTACATAGGCAGTCTGAGGTTTCGTTTCTTCTGTACTCTATTCTGACCTGCCTTGTCCTATCCTGTGCTTGTATCCTATCTAATGGACTTGACCTGTGGTTTGAAAAATGTTGGTGTAGAGCTTAAGGACCAGTTTCTAGGGGCCAGCAGGTGGCATGGTGGTTGAGATGTGGATTCCCTGTGGTTGACCACAATTCCTGAACCTGGCGACTTGGCTTGCTTTCTCTTTCTGTCTCTCTCCCCCTGCCCCACCCCATCTCTAGTCAATGGGGGGGGGGGGGGAGTGACAATGATAAATAAAATTAAATAAATGATTCTTTTAAAAAAATAGAGCCAGGTTCTAGAGTCAGGTGGGGAGTCCAATATGCATTATAATTAGCCCTGGGCCAGGAGGGTGGTTCTGTGACTGTCAGAGGAGGGGTTTTGTTCACCCAGAGTCTAATACATGGCAGAAGTGAGGATACTGGACTTTCAGGAACTGGAGCTATGACACCATGTGTCAGAATTCACGTTTTTGGAAGCTATACAGGATGAGTGGAAAATGCTCATGGACTCATGAATGCTCAATTTTTGGAAATAGGATATAATATTATTCAGTATACTTGTAGCTTTGCAAAGTTAAGCTTATCTTTTGCATGGAAGAATGACTAGAAACAAATATCCAAAAATATAACAGCAGATGATTTCAATGTTTTCACTGTTGTTTTACTTTCCAATTTTTCCAGGTTTTCTTGGATCAACGTTTATTACCTTTATGGAAGTAAAAATCTTTTTAATATATCCATTAGTAGTCCAGCCTGAGAGACAAATAGTCTTGAAGGATGGTCCTTGGTATTGCAACTGGAAGACAACATGATCTCTCCAAGTCTCCCCTCACCTCAGACCCTGCACATGGAGGTCATGAGGCTGCAGAACTGACCAACAGCAGCCACTGTAGCCAGGGCTGCTTTTGTGGTCCTGTCCATACCATGAGCCTGCAATCTGTATTGAGAGTTTCTTGGTGTATTTTTGCTGTAGACAGAGGACTACCTGAAACGGAAGATTCGGTCCCGGCCGGAGAGATCGGAGCTGGTCAGGATGCACATTTTGGAAGGTGTGTGAGACTGGGCTTGCTACTGGTGTATACCCTGGATGCACACACACTCACCATTGCTCCATCTCTTCCTTCCTCTCGCTTTCCGAAATCTCATCCCCATTTCTGTCAGCAGTGGATAAGCCACAGTCTTCACACAATCAAACAGCAGTGCTGGGCAGCTGCTACTGGTTTGGGGATTTCCAAGAAGCACAGTTACATTTTCTTGGATTGGGTTGGCCTGTTTTTCTGGGTCTCACCATTTCATGGTATGAAGCCACTTCTCTCTGCTAGGGCAGATTCTTTTTCTATTCCAAAACCTATTTTAAAAGTGTATTTAGGGGGACTTGCAGAGGGCATAATGGTTATATTGCTGGACCCCCACGTTGTTGACTGCAGTTGAGTCCTGGACCCTGGTGGCTTAGGCTCACGATTGGTGCATGTGTTGTTCGTGCCTCATATCCCAAGAGGAGAATGGAAGAGAAGGAACTGTGGCGTTCCCCTGGGGGATGATTTCTTACTTTCTCTCTGTCTCTCCAGCAAGTTCACGCACCCTATAGTAAAAATCTCTTAAAAGAAAAAAAGTGCATGTAGGGCCAGCCAGGGGTGTGTTGGTTCAGGTGGCTGGATCGCACATGGCTGACTTTTTGGTTTGAGTCCCAGACCAGCGACTTGAATAAACACACCTGGAGCACGTGGGCATGCACGTCCAAAATCTCGAGAAAAGAATTATAGTGTGGCCACCTCCCTGAGGGATGATTTTTCACTTTCCCGCCTTTCACTGGCCAGTGCACATGCCCTATAGCAAAACTTACAAACAAACAAACAAACAAAAAACCTCTTTTCCCTCCTCCAAAAAATGTCTCTTTCATTACTCATTCATTCACTTGGCATTTACCTGAACTCTTGTGATATACAAGGAAGAACATCTTAGATGCCCCCTGGTCCCAGTCACACATTTCTTTCCACATTTTTTTTCTTTTGGAGATTTTGGCTATAGGGCATAGGTGCTTGCTAGAGAGGCAGAGAGAGACAGAGAAAAAGAGAGAACTCACCCTCCAGGGAGGATGGTCACGTCACAATCCCTTCTCCTCCATTTTCCTCTCGGGATTTTGGGGCACACACACATGTGCCCAGTGTGACTTTTAAGCTCCCAGGTCTGGGACTCGAGCTGCTGTCGATTACATGGGAGTCCAGAGATGTAAACATTATGCCATCTGTTGGTACCTCTATTTTTTTTGTTGTTTTTTTTTTTAAATTATTTTATTTATTTATTATTATTTTTTCACATGGGTTTTTGCCAGAGAAAGACAGAGAGCAAGCTGCCAGGTTTGGGACTTGAACCATGGTCAGCCATGTGGGAATTCCAGCGCCTTAACCACCACGCCACCTGCTGGCTCTTACCTCTTTCTATATTTTTAATGAAGGAAAGGTTTTGGCTTCTGGAAGCAGCATAAATGTATCCACATTATTATTATTTTTTTAATATACCAGAGGGCATGTGCACTTGACTGCCAGAGGAGGCATGGAGATGGGGGGAAGAGGGCAAACGTGCCTCACAAAGGGGCATGGTCACACTGCAGTCCCTTCTCCATTTCTCCACCTGGTTGGGATTTGGGCATGGATGACTTATGCCTTTGTGTTTTTCAAGCTGCATATCCATGTTCAAGCCACACAGCCATGTGGGATCCAGCAAACTTAACCACCAGGCTACGGGGCTGGCTCAATATATCCACATCTTGTTTGTTTAGTTTGAGCCATTTTTAAGGCTATAAGTGAACTTTTCTAGTTTGAATCCCATATTTGGCAGCTGAAGACATTGAAATCCAGAGCATAGAGGCTAATTGCCCAGTAACGTGGTAGGTTTGTGGGAGAGTGGAGCCCATCCTCTCGTCTTTGACTCTAGCTCCACCTCAGGAGGTCCCCTGTACTGGCCTGTGTGTGGCTGCAGTTGTTCTGCATGACTATGCTCTATCCATAGTGGGGGCCTTTCTTTTGTCCTTCAAGCCAGGCCACCCTTCTCTGCCTGGGTTGTGTTTCCCATTCTGATGGACTCTTGCTTCTGCCCAGGAGGAAGGAGACTTGTCTTGGAGTTCTCGATGCAGAACCAGGTTCACTAGTGTGAGGGAATTTCAGAGTTCATGGAAAAATGGAAGTGAAGTATGAGTTTATTGGAATATAAAAAAAAAAAAATTTGAAGGCCTGGCCCCACAGCTTAGTAGTTAAGGGAAGCTAGATCCCACATGGTTGTATGTGGGTCAAGTCCTAGCCTCAGCAGCTTGAAGTCACATCAAGTATGTGTGGACATGTGTACCAAATCCCAAAAGAATGGAGAAGCAAAGAAGGGATTATGGTGTGACCACACCCCATTGAGGGGTGCTGTCTCCCTCTTTCTCTCTCTCTCTCTTTGCCCCCTCCCTCCGGCAGGCTCCCTTTGGCAATTAAAAGAATGGAAAGAGTTAAAATCCATGCATAGTTTTTCTGTGTACCTTTTCCATGAACTTTTTCAACTTAACATGTATCTGTCTGTACCTTCTTTTCTCCCTCATCAGAGACATCTGCTGAGCCTTCCCTCCAGGCCAAGCAGCTGAAGCTAAAGAGAGCCAGGCTAGCCTATGACCTCAATGAAAAGATTGCACAGAGGCCTGGCCCCATGGAGCTGGTGGAAAAGAATATCCTGCCTGTGGAGTCCAGCCTGAAGGAGGCCATCATTGGTGAGAGGCCCTAGCTGCCTGCCTAGCAGAATGTAGGAGGGATGGTAGCACTTTTACCACAGCAGAAATGGACAGGCCCTTGGCTCCTAGGAATAAGGCACAGCTCAGAGCCTGATGAGAGGTCGTGCTAGCTCAGGATAGTGCAGTTGCCTCAGGGATCAGAGCCACAGGAAAGTACCTACTCATGTAACCGGCCTCTGTTCACCCCTTGCTGTGAACTCGGGGGCTTAGTCCTTTCTCCCAGGGTAAGTTGAGGTCAGGATGGATATGTGTGGATACACGGGAATGCTGGGAACTAGAAATCTATACCATTTATTTATTTTTTTTAATTAGTGAGTTCTGTTCTTGGAACTTGGCCTTGCCACACATATTTCACTCAGCAAATATCGATGCAAGCAATGTGCTAGGTGTTGGGAGTACAGTCCCAACTGGCAGACCATACCCCCTGTCCTTAGGGAACTCATGAGAGTGAACACAGGGCTGTGTAGGCTGGCGACTGGTGTGGGCTGGGGAGGGAGAAGAAGGTGCTACAGCAGGGGGTCATGCCAGGAGGTGAAAGGAGTTGGAAGAGAGGGTGTCCAGCCCTGAGGCAGGTGTGGTGAGCAGAGCCCATGGTATGCAGGGCCTCTTGTGCCACGGGCAGGAGTTCGAATTTGATTACCTCAGTGCTTTTCCTCTGTGCTCTCACACTCACCACGGAACACTTCTGCTATTGCTCTTCTGGCTTGGTATTTCCCACACATCACTCAGTTCCCCAATAGACACCTCAGATCCCACAGTTCAGGACCGCCCCAGCTCCCCACATCAGACCCCAGCAGCAAGTCCCAGGTCATGACCAACCTTCTGGCCAACTGGCTATAGATCAGGAGTTCCCAAAACTCCCACTTCGGGTTTGAAAATTTGCTTGGATGGGTCAGAGAACTCAGTACTGTTAGTCAGTTTTAAAGGATATTGCAGAGGATACAGGTGAACTGCCAAATGAAGAGCTGCAGTAGGCCCACATAGAGGGAGGGGCAGAGTGTGCTCTTCCATCTCTGGGCATACCGCCTTTCCTGCACCTCTGTGTGTTCAGCAACCCAGAAGTGCATCAAATCTTACCCCAAGAGTTTTTGTAGAGCTTGGCCTCTGGGAGGGCTACAAGTTCCAGTCCTCTAACTCTCTAATCACTTGGTCTTTCTGGTGATGCTGTCTAGGGGCCTATCCCTAAGTCACCTCTTTGCATAAATTCTGGCACTATGGAAAGGGGTTTACATGAATAACAGAAGACACCCCTGTCAGCCAGGAAATTCCAAGGGTTTTCAGTGCTCTTTGATAGGTACCTGGGCCAAAAGACCAATGTGTTTCCTGTCATCCCACACTTAGATTTTGATGATAGTTGGTACAGACTTGGCTCCTTCACTGCAGGGGGAGCTCAAGACCTGATCCCTGTCAAAGCCTTATGTTCTTGTCTAGCTGGAGGTAGCTGTTTTCAGAGGAGACACAAGGGTTCCCCTGAAGTAGGGCATGAGACAGGAGCAATTGGAGCAGCCCTGAGCTGGTGCAGCAGAGGCTGGTCTGCACCATGGATGGTGGTTTGCAGTGGCAGCTCTTCTGGAGGCTGCCATGTTCTGGACCCTTAGCAGCCCTGTTGGTAGCCCTTAATTCAGCAACTGCACCTGACTTCGCCCTGCCTCCTCTCAGCGTTTACACCTCAGATTTTCAGAGCAGCCCCTCATTGCAGGCTGCCATGTGGGGTCTGCATTGGTGCTGTGCCAGACCCCGTGGGAAAACCTGAAGCCACAATGATGAATAAACTCCCGTGCCTCTCAGATGTAGCTGATGTGAGAAGACTGATGTATAAACCAGTAATTTCTGAGTCTGGCTACCTGTCAGCCCCCTGCATGGTGTAGTGGGAAGGGCCATAGCCCTGTGACCTTGTAGTCTTATGGGAATTTGCAGAGTCACACACAGTCTGAGCAAAAAAGGGGCCGCATGGTCCCAGTCACCTGGGGAGACTCATGGAGTGGTTGCTGCTGTCGTCCAACAGCTGCTGTGATGGACTGCGTGCAGTGCTGGACACGTGTGTGCCCCAGTGTGCAGAGCTTGGCCACAGGGGTTGTCAGGGCTAGGGACTGGTGGTGCTGTCTGGGCAGTGCCTACACAAGATGGAGTGTGTTTGGGGCCAACCTGTGGGCTGCATAAGAAATTTGCCAAGTGGAGAAGGTGAGAGGGACTAGCACAGGCAGTGGCCAGGAGGCCTGTGAAGCCCAGATTGTTTGAGTCTGGAACACGGTGCTCATTGTAACAGAGAAAGGAGCATGTGTCAGCAGAAGCCAGGCTGAGTAGGGAGGCTCGAGGAGGAAACAAGGAAGGGGTGACCACATAGTCCACTTGTTTTACAGTTCAGTGGGGAAGGAAGAGTGGGTGAGGCTAGAGAAAGAAGGGCTTTTAGGCTGGGAGACCCAGAGCAGGCTGGTGGGAGGGGTGTCTAGCTCAGAAGTCACAACGCTGGGGACAGGGAGGTAGCAGCCAGAGGAGGTAGAGACTGGGCCTGGTGACTAGGGGGCCTAGGAGGGAGGGTTTGAAGAGGCTGTACCTACCATAGTTCTCCCCACACGCTCAGGCCACTTATACATTCACACACACACCCCTCCTCCATTTATCTTTAAGGTTCATGTCATACCCTCTCCTCTAGGAAGCCTTCCCTGCATCCCTGTAGCATGCCCTCAGCCTCTGTTTCTCTCTCCTCTCTCCTTTTTTTTTTTTTTTTTTTAAAGATTTTTGCTAAGAACATGTATGAGAGAAAGAGAGAATCCCCGTCCCCCCGGGGAAGATGACCACCCCACAGTTCATTTTACTTTAGGGATTTGGGGTATGCACACATGTATGCACACAGGCCAAGCATGATTTTCAAGCTGCCAGGTCTTTTTCCTTCTAGAAGAGCATTTACTCTGCTCCAGGGTGACTAGATCATAAGCTCCTCGATGGCGCCTGGCACAAGCCTGGCCACAGCAGGGGGAGAAATAGAATCTCTGGTGACTCTGGCCTGCACTGTCCTCAGGCCCTTTTGATGTAGCCAGCAGCCTCTGGAGTGGAGGATGTGGGGGCTGTAACTGCCCCGTCCTGGTCACTCTTGCCCTGTGCGGGGTGGTGGGCTGGTCCCACCCGAGTGCTGTGCCACATAGGTGTCCTTGCTGGGAATGAGAGATTCAGAGACATCCAGATGTGGGGTTGACTTGAAGCACAACTGGTCCGTGGGCTCAGTTCGATCCATGCCTTGCTTTCCTGCCCTACTGATGTAAACGAGGGCCACAAGGAGTGAGGAGAGCTCCGTCACTGCAGAGCCAGTGAGGGGGAAGCTCAGGTGCTAGCCTTGGGGAGGAAGAGGGCTTGTTCCTCTTCCTTATCTGGGGCCTTCCCACCATAGCACCTTCCCCTGGGCATGGCCGGCACTCACCTTGGGGCCTTCCCCACTGCCTCAGTTCCTCCTTTATGGACAGTAGACCAGTTCGGAACCTCCCACTCCTGCCTCTTCCCACAGCAGTGTCGAGGATGTGCTTGTGACATGACTCTTGAAATATCATCCTTGCCTCTGTTCCTGTCTATCCTCTCTCTGTGACCTGAGATTTCCTCGTGGGGACCCTGTGAAGCAGAAGCTCTATGCTATGTCCCTGCCCTGCCCCTACCTCTCAGCCAACCTCAGGAGGATCTGTACTCACGCCACATTCGGCTTGACCATGGGCTGGACCAGGCCACCTAGGGCTGGTGCCTTCTGCCCAGGCATTGGGTCTGTGGGAGTCACTGGCTTCTGAAGGAAGGCCACCATACTGTCACTGCTTCTAGTTACACACAGGCAAGCCTCCCTCTCCAGGATGCCTCCATCAGCACCTCAGACAGGCTCCTTCATCCATTCTTGGCCCTCAGGAATCTGGTCAGCCCAGGGAGGAGCGGGGCTGTTGACCAGGTCCATGACCCCTCATCAGCAGGCTAAGAATTGCACAGTCTGGGGTATGGGGGAGCGAGCGGGGAGGAGAGAGTGCTGTGTAGCCACAGGGTGGAGATAAAGTGCCTTTAACATCAGGAAACAGACAAAGTACATGAGGCCATCTGGGTCTTTCAAGGGAGAAACAGGCTAGAGGGAAGGTAGAAGGAGCTTAACTTTGGAGACTAAACACAGTGTAAGGTTGAAAGCAGGTTAGAAACCATGCCTTTCCTAGAGCTCGTTTGGATGAAGAAGTTGGCCATGCCTCCCTTGGTCCATCTGCCTTGTATGGGCTGGGGGCAGATATTTGTTGGGACAGCCTCTGGTACAGGGCAAGGCTGGCTTCCCCACTGACTCCTGGGGCTGGAACTGGAGTCTCAAGTTGACTTTGGGTTGCAGTGGGGCAGGTGAATTACCCGAAAGTAGCGGACAGCTCTTCCTTCGACGAGGACAGCAGTGATGCCTTATCCCCTGAGCAGCCTGCTAGCCATGAATCCCAGGGTTCGGTGCCGTCACCCCTGGAGACCCGAGTCAGCGAACCACTGCCCAGTGCCACATCTGTGTCCCCAACTCAGGTGAGCTAGCCCAATTCCAGAACGTCCCCACCCCCAAGGCCTTCAGTCTTGCCGGGGCTGCCTCGAACAGCTCTCTCCTGGGCCAGGGTAGGGACTCCTGGCTGGGCACAGGACACTAGTGGGTGCTCCCAGGAGCATGAGCACTGGCTGCTGGAGTCCCAGTGCTTAGGAGGGAGGTGTGGGAGGCCCAAGACCACTTGGGGCCTCATGGAGGAGGTCGGCCATGCTGCCTTGCAGTCAGATTCCCTCTCAAGGAGCACCCAGTCTTTCCACCACTTCCTGCCTCTGCTCTCTCTGGTTCCTTCCCCATCCGACTATCCTGGGGATCACCCTCTCATCCCTGTTTCTACACAGCTTCCTCTAACAGTCTTTGTGGCCAAGGAATTGCTGCCATGACCACTATTGTGCAGGGTCTGGCTCCTGGCAGGGGCAGGCTGGGCACCTCCTAGAGATGGCCGGTGTCCCCATTTTCCCTCTTCCATCAGGTTGTGTCTCAGCTCCCAGTGGGCCCAGACTCCGGAGAGAGGCTTTTCCTGGCCGAGCAGCCTCCACTACCTCCCCCGCCCCTGCTGCCGCCCAGCCTCACCAACGGAGCCTCTGTCCCCATCGCCAAGCCCACACCCACACTGATTAAGGTACCGTTTTACCACCTCTGTGCCCGTTCCCCTTCCCTGTACCTCTCAGAGCCGTGAGTGACTTCATTCTAGCTGGGAACAGCTGTAGGAGGTGGGGGTGCATATCTTCTCACAAGTGCCAGGGGCCACCGAAGAGATTCTTCTTATCTCCACTGGCCATCGTGACCCAGGCCGTCACCAGCATAACTACTGCTGGTCGAGCACAGTATGTGAGCCCTGGCCTCAGGCTGCCGGGTGCTCATTCCTGCCTGACGCCAGAACACGTGTCTGTCTCCTCCACCCAGGACCTCCCAAGGCTGTAGCAGCCCCATGCTGTAGATGATGGAGAAGCGACATACATGCTCAAGGCCACATGGTGGCTTCATGGGGCATCGTTTTTATTCTCCCCCAAGCCTAACCTGGCCTGCTGACGGAGAAGGTCACTGTGACTGGTGGGGGACATGTGTGGGCACTACTGACCTTGTGTGCACATGTTCAATATCGGCCACAAGCCTCAGGAGCTGGTGCCAGGTCTTCTCTGCCCCGTGGGACCATCTGGCTTCCAGGACCTCTAGGACCTGAGGCTGGCCTTCAACTCTCCCACCCCTCCCAAGTTTCTCATCTTCACCTTCCACTCCACTCCTCCTCTCTGACCCCCTTCGCACACAGGCCCTGCCCCTGGTGCCACAGCCCTTCTGCTCTGCTCAAGTCTCAGGACAGGCTGGCAGCCCCTCTAGTGGATCATATTTGCTCAAATCTTCCTTTTGGTCCCTATTGCCAGCTGGCCAAGACCCCAGCTGGTCCCTGCATCAAGTCTCCTACCTTTCTGTCTGCCAGTCTGTGCTCAGAAACTTCTAGGCTCTGCACAGCCCCTTCCTGGCAAACCCCTGAAACTCTTGCTTCTTCCTCCAACTCCAGCTTTCCCTGCTGCGAGAAAAGGCCTTCCGAGCATGACTCCCTGGCCCTTCCTGGTCAGTCTGCATCCTCTGCCCCTTCAGGTCCCATGAAGCCTTCACTGTTGTGCCAGCAGGGAGTCAGGAGGCTCTCATGGGGCATGAGTAGGAACTTTTGGAGTCCTGGGTTGGATCAAGATCACTGTGACCTTGGGCAAGTGACCTCCTCATTGTCAAATTGGATAAAACAGTTCCTGCCCCAATAGGATTTTTTTTCCCCCATGAGAGAGACAGAGACAGAGATAGACATTCCCAGCAGGGTCATTCTGCCACAGTCTATCCTGTCTCAGCCAGTCTGGGTCACAGACACGTAGCCCAGTGTGTTTGGGGAGGTCCCAAGATGTGATCCCTGGGCCTTTCTCATGAAGGCCCAATGCATTGACACTGTGCCACTGCCTGGCCTGTGGTAGGATTCTTGGGAGCCTTGTGTGACAGTTATTGTGAAGCACTGCACCTGGAAGGGCCCATGCTCTGTAAATCAACTGTGTTTCTACCTCCTTGTGTTCACACATGGCTCCGGTTACAGTGAGGTTTGCACCTGTACATTTGGTTGTTTTCCTCCAGCCTAGAAGCTTTTACTTATTTATTTTAAGATTTTTCTACTGGGCACATTTGCTTGTCAGAGAGAGGTAAAGTGAGAAATCACTTCCCAAGGGGATGGTCATGCTGCAGTCCATTTTTCTCCTGGGATTCTGGGCACTCACTCACATGCATCGGGCGTATTTTCCAAGCTTCAAGGTCTGGGATGCAAACTATGCACTTGGCCATGTGGGATCTAGTTGCCTTAACTGCCACTCCACCTGACTAGCCCACTAGAAGCTCTTTTATGATCGGGACCAGGCCCAGCCCCCTCCACCACCCCAGTCCTAGCCCTGCATGCTTCTGGTCACCCAAAGATCTCTGCCCTTCAAGGGCCACAGTCATCCAGGGGAGGAGTGGGAATGATCAGATAGATGGTGCTGCCTTCTCAGAAGCCACTCAGGTGTGGGGAGGCTGCTAGTCTGCCCTGATGGTACCCTGCCCTATGCCCTCAGCAAAGCCAACCCAAGTCTGCCAGTGAGAAGTCACAGCGTAGCAAGAAGGCCAAGGAGCTGAAGCCAAAGGTGAAGAAGCTCAAGTATCACCAGTACATCCCCCCGGACCAAAAGCAGGACAAGGGGGCCCCCCCCATGGACTCCTCCTATGCCAAGATCCTGCAGCAGCAGCAGCTCTTCCTCCAGCTGCAGATTCTCAACCAGCAGCACTACAACTACCAGACCATCCTACCTGCCCCGCCAAAGTAAGTGCCCACTGTAGCTGCCCTGAGACAGCACGTGCCAGGGTAGGGTTGGGTGAGCCCCAGCTCTTAAAGGAGTCTTTGGTCTGGATCTTACTCACTGGTTCTCAGGCGGGACACCCTGGCCTGTGGCAGGATGCTGGCCCTGTGTCCACCAGTAGTACCCCCACAGCCCAGCTTCTGGACCACCCCTGCGACTGGAGAGTGATGCCTGATGGGCATCATTTCTGCCTTTTCTCTTCAGACCAGCAGGTGAGGCTCTGGGAAACAGTGGGCCACCTCCAGCACGTAGCCTCTCCACTACCAACAGCAGCTCCAACTCGGGAGCCCCGGGGCCAGGCGGGCCGGTGCGGCAGAACAGCACCTCGCTGACTGGCAAGCCGGGAGCCCTGCCAGCCAATCTGGACGACATGAAGGTAGGCGCCACCTGCTTCCCACTGGAGGACTTCCCATTGCCAGCCTGGTTTCTTCCCTGAGGGCTGTCCTGGTGCTGGGTTCAGGCAGAGGAGGCAGCTGGTCCAGGAGCCATAGCTGTGGAAGGCAGAGCAGGCTCCAGGCTCTGGCCTCTGCCAGACAGTCCCTTGGAACCTGCTTCAAGTCTGCCTGGCCATGGTCAGCGATAGCAGCCTCCTCACAGACGTCACTGTCATTAATGATGTCAGCCAGTACTCCTCTAGGGCCTTGGGCCTGGCCAAGCCATCTGTGTCCCCACCTTCCTCCACCTCGGTGGTGCAGTGTGAGCAAGGCGGTTGTTACCCCTCTGAGGGTGAGCACTGAAGCGTTGAAGGGAGTGTGCCCAAGTCACAGATGTGGTCAGTGTGGACGGGGCTCTCCGGCTCCAACACCTGCCCTTTTTGTACCTTGCTGGTTGATGCCCAGCCAAGCCTGCTGTGTCTGATGGGAAGAGAGTGGCCATGCTCAGGAGCACTTGGCTGTGTCCTCTGTCCTTGGAGAGAGGGTCATGCTATTGCCTGGCCTGCCTTCTCTGCCCTGACCAGAAGATGGAATGGACTGAGTGCTCTCTCCAGACCTTATCTTCTGGGCCATGCTGCCTACCCACTAGTGGGCATGTGGTCCACTCTGGCTCCCAGGATGACAGTCTCAGCTTGACTCTCACCAGCTCTGTGGGCTCAAAGAAGTCACTGCACTTTCTAGCGCTCAGATTTCTCTTCTGACCTTCAGTCTGTTCAGTGAAATACTGATTGAGGTCTAGGCACCTTGCTGGGGCTGGGCAGCCATGGACACTGCATCCCCAGCCCCTGCCCCCATTTCCTGGGAGGTGGGGACTACTTCAGTCAGGCCCCTGCTGTGGTGAGAATAGGAAAGGGAGGGGGAGGACAGACAAGTCCTGTCTTACCAGGTGTTCATCCCTCCATCTCCTCATCCTCCTGCCTAGACCAGCCCCTGGGTCCAGCTGCCCATTTTCCTGCCACTCTGCCTCTCGACTCTTTGCAGGTGGCAGAGTTGAAGCAGGAGCTGAAGTTGCGGTCACTGCCCGTCTCAGGCACCAAGACCGAGCTGATCGAGCGCTTGCGTGCCTACCAAGACCAAGTCAGCCCTGCCCCGGGAGCCCCGAAAGCCCCTGCTGCCACCTCCCTCTTGCCCAAGGCTGGCGAGGTGGTGGTTGCCTTCCCAGCGGCCCGGCTGAGTACAGGGCCAGCCCTGGTGGCAGCAGGCCTGGCCCCCACTGAGGTGGTGGTGGCCACAGTGACCAGTAATGGAGTGGTGAAATTTGGCAGCACAGGCTCTACACCTCCTGTGTCTCCCACCCCCTCAGAGCGGTCGCTGCTTAGCACAGGCGATGAGAACTCCACACCCGGGGACACATTTGGCGAGATGGTGACCTCACCATTGACACAGCTCACTCTGCAGGCCTCCCCCTTGCAGATCCTTGTGAAGGAGGAGGGCCCTCGGGCCGGGTCTTGCTGCCTGAGCCCTGGGGCGCGGGCTGAGCTGGAGGGTCGCGACAAGGACCAGATGCTGCAGGAGAAGGACAAGCAGATCGAGGAGCTGACCCGCATGCTCCGGCAGAAGCAGCAGCTGGTGGAGCGGGTCCCGCCGGGCACGGGGGCAGGGG